CCAGCCAACCAACCAACCAACTTACCCAGGGGTGGACAAACCAACCAACGAACCAGCCAATCAGCCAGCCAACCAGCCAATCAACCTGTCAACTAACTCAGTCTGTTGATGCACCACAGCAAGAAACTGCCTCTGCAGTTCTTCCTCCAACGACTCCACCATCTCAAAACTAGCACCGTCTAACTTCTGGCACATGTACTTCACAAATGTTCGAGATCTGCTGTCATACTCGCCTGCAAAATAAAAAAAATGGAGTATGGGAAAAAGTGAATTTTTCATTCTGAACGCTGAACGTTATCATTATCATCATCGTCATCGTTGTCATCATCATTTTTATCTTCACCATCATCATCATCGTCATCGTCATCGTCACCATCATCATATCATCATCACTACTCACCACGTTGTATGGAAATCATCAGCAAATCACGAATGACCTCTTTACTGCCATTGGCCAGATAGAGGTCGGTCGCTTTGAATTCGTCCAATAGCATTTCGCCTGGCTCGTGCACGGCTTCATCGTTAACCAATAGCATCATCATTGGGCGAAATTTCTGTTCATTATGACGATAATGATAACGATGATGATGAGGATGACGATGCTGATGATGATGGTGACGACAATGATAATGATGATGATGATAACGGTGACGATAATGATGATGATGATACTGATAATGATGAAGAAATAAAAAAAAAACACCAACGAACTAACTTTCCCCTCCGACCCAAATCTTTCCATGAACGACCACATGAAGGTGTTTCTGAATTTTCTGGAGTGAGGAGTGAAAATAAGTTCACTCATTCAATCGGGATATTCATTCATCCTCCACCAATCTATCCATCCATCCATCCATCCATCCATTCATTCATTCATTCATTCATTCATTCATTCATTCACTCACTCACTCATTCATTCATTCATTCATTTATGCATTCATTCATCGATCCATCTACACATAGAATACTCTAGTACACTCACCTATTCTCATCACTATCTCCATAGAGATCACAGAGAGTGCAGGCGACCAAGTGAGAGTACGAGAAGAGGGAGAGAGGTGAGATATCTTTGAAGTGCTCTAGAACGCATTTGCTCAAAACATCATTTTTATCATCATCACCATCCTTATTGTTATCATTATTATTGTTCTTATTATCATCATAACGAGAATCACTTTCATTTTTTTCACATTTTTTATTATTTTTCTTATTATTATTATTCTTATTATTATTATTTTTATTATTATTACTACTTATAGCATCTGTATCTAGGAGAGCAAAATTCTCTTGAGCCAAATCTTTATGGCAGTCGATGTCTCTTATTGCATGGATGACATCATCATCTTTATTATTGTTCTTTTTGTTATTGTTTTTATTTTTATTGGTTTTGTTGTTGTTATCGTTATCATAACCATCATTGTTGTTATTGTTGTTGTTGTTTGAAACTGAAGTTTCGTCAGCGAATAAGCTTGCGAAAAAAGATGTGATGGGGTTGCTGTTGTTTTTGTTGTTGTTGTTATCTTTATTATTATTGTTGTTGTTGTTTTTATTATTTTTTTTATTCTTATTATTTTTACTATTACTAATGCTAGTATCTTTATCTATAAGCACTAAATTTTCTTTAAAGTCCTTGTCACTGCTATAATTGTTTTCCACCAAAGTTTTATTATTATTGTTATTATTATTATTGTTATTATTATTATTGTTATTGTTGCCGTTGTGATTGTTATTATTGTTGTTGTTGTTGTCGTTGTTGATGTTATTTTCATCATCTTCATCATCGCAATTGTTGTCATTAGAATTTTCGTCAGCAAATAAGCTCGTAAAGAATGATGTGATGGGATTGCTGCTACTGCTTTTGTTGTTGTTGCTGTTTTTATTGTTGTTGTTGCCTTGTTTCGGTTGCTTTGTAATGTCATCATGTTGAGTTTTACTTCCAATTAATTTTGTGTTGCTGTTGTTGCTGTTGTTGTTTGCCTGGGTGTTGTTGTTAGCTCTTTTAATGTTTTTGTTGGTAATGTTGTTGTTGTTGTCGGTTTTGTTGCTATTGTTGTTGTTGCTATTCATATTTTTGACGACAATTTTCTCTGATGTTTTACTGTTATCAAACACAATATTCCTGTCTATGTTGAATTTTCTACTGCTACTACTATCATTAATATAATCCAAGTCGTCATTGTTATTGTTGCTATTATTGTTGTTCTTATTATTATTGTTGTTGTTATTAATACTGTTCTTATTGTTGTTGTTGTTGTTGTTGCTGTCTGAGTTGCTGTAATGATTCATGCCATCGTCAACTTCTATCCAGTCTTCATCTTTAGCAAATTTTTTCTCCATTGCGAAATTATTTCTCTTTTCTATTATTATTAAGGATATTATTATTATTATTCGTAGTATTTGTGCTATAATATAATTTGTATTATTATTTATTTTTATTATCATTAATGGTTTTATAGTACTTAATTAATTCATCTTAATAGGATCAGATGTGTAATTGAAACTTTAGAAAATAAATAAGCCTACCAATTATTAAACAGACTTTAAAGTAAATTACATAATTATAAATATTCACTAATTTAGTTATATAAATATAATAATTTGTATTACAATTATGATAATTGAAAATAAAGAATAAATTAGAAATTACTCACTCAGACTTCTCTAAGTAATTTTAATTTAATTTAATTAAGAAGACTTAACAAGTAAAATTCTCAAAAAGTCTAAATAGTTTTTTTAGCTGAAAATTTACTCGTTCCTTTTATTTTATAACCTATTTATTTATTAGTATTTTTTATCAAAAACAAATATTGTTTACGTTAACAATGAGCATATTATTATTTTCTACTTAAAAAAAATAACAAAAAAACATAAGTGGAATTCCCCATAGAGCTGGATTTTCCCAGGTCTGTAAATAGACACCCCCTAGCAAGTAGCAAGGGACATAATGGAATATGAATAGATTCATTCAAGCGTATCCAATATACCTGAGTTTGATACCCGTGTAATTATAATGTATAATTAGTATTATTTCTATATATTGTTTTATTGTATTTATTTATTGGAGTATTTATTAAAGAGTTACGGGCAGCTAGACGAGTAGCAGAGTTAAAAGCTTTACTTTAAGAGTGTAGAATCAGGAAGACCATAGTAGAGCGAGTTACAATAATCAATCTTAGATTAGACTAACGAAGTAACAAGAAGGTGAAGAGTAGGATCACCAAGTAAAGGCAAAAGTTTTTTATACCAAGTAAGATGAAAGTAAGAACTTCTAGCAACATTTTTAATCTGGGAAGAAAGAGACATGTTAGAATCAAAGATAATGCCTAGACTACGAAACTTATGAGCTACATCAAGAGTTTTAGAATCAGGTAAGATAAAAATTCTCTTTACAAAATTTTTAAGAGGTGTCAAAAAAAACACAGGGTATGCATGCAAATGTACACGTTTAAAAACGCATGCAATAGGCTGGGATCTCAATGCCATCAAACCGCTCATTTGTTTTAACATTCAATCATTCGTTCATTCATCCAAGAACTCATCACAACTATGCGCCCATTCATTCACTCATTTATTCTCCAATTCACTCATTTATTCTCCAATTCACTCATTTATTCTCCAATTCACTCATTTATTCTCCAATTCACTCATTTATTCTCCAATTCACTCATTTATTTATTAATTGATGTAGACCTTATTACACCTCTATCATTAATATTTTACTATTATAATCTTTTTATTTAATTATTTTTTATTTACATGAACTCATAATCGCATTTGAATAACAAGATTTTACACAACCCCTGGAGAATGTTCATAAAATTCACTATAGCTCGTTTTTTGTACTTCTTATCAGTTCTTTTCTATTCACAATCTGAAATACTTTCATCGTTTGAAACCTATTATTTAAGAAGAAAAAAAGAAGAAGAAGAAGAATAAAAAGAAGAAAAAGAAGAATAAAAAGAAGAAGAAGAAGAAGAAAAAGATGAAGAAGAAGAAGAAGAAAAAGAAGAAGATGATGATGAAGAAAATGAAGAAGATGAAGAAGATGATGATGAAGAAAATGAAGAAGATGAAGAAGATGATGAAAAAGAATAACAAACAAACATGGTTATGACATTATCGTGGTTATAAATAAATAAATTTCGTCAGAAATGAATTACGAAACAAGAATGACTATGAATCATCAATGATCGTCATCATTTAAATTATCATCGTTATATTATAATTATAACCGTCATCATCATATGGATTGTGACAAAATATTTCTAAGACATTTAATAACAACAAATTAATTAGCCATTGAAAATAATTAATAATTAAAAATGAAAATCTTAGCAATTTTTAAATGACAAAGTAGAGAAACGTTTAAGTTATTCTCACTGTAGCATCAATCAAGTTGTTTCCGTCAATTTGAAAAATTTACAGTGTGATAACTTTTCATCCAGCAGGTTGATCTAGACACACACGCACACACACACACACACACACACACACGTGTCGATGGAGTGAGGTGGAATGAACTGCAGTACATTCCGGTTCCGTTACTAACTTTCATGACATCCGGGCCAGATTGAATAAACAGGGGATTCAATCCCGACCACTACAACACAACATGGCTCTTATTCAAGTTTACTAATTTTTCTATTTATGTTCATCAATTACGGGCTATTAAAATGGTAATAATTAAATTTCGAAATTAATTGATCATTCATCAAATTAGTATTTTTGAATAGGTGTGTTNTTAGTGAAAGTTCGTATTCATTAATATATTTAGGGTTTAAGTTTTTCATTATTATTACTAAGTTGGATGGGGTAGGGCCGATTGGCGGATGAATTGTAGTGATCGGATCGAGTTTTGTAATTTTAGGTAAACTAGGGCTTAATTTTAATGAATAGGTAAGTTGAGGTTTAGACGTTATTAGCTAAAACAACTGAATAAATAGGTAGATAGGATTATTTATATAACTAATTTGAGACGCGTGCTTTTTTTTTCTCCTCATGAACGGCTGCCATGGCGTGGTGACGGAGCTTCTCACCAAATGCGGTTCGTGAGATGCGCTTTTTCAGTTTTTAAATTTTTTTATTCTGATAGTTCTATAATAATTCAAATGTAGGTACACACATACACAAAATACAAACACATACATACATACATTAGTTAAAAACGTACATACAAATGTATACATACATACAAACACATATACATTAGTTGTTATATTGTTGTAATTTGTCTATTCTTCTTAATTTTTCCTTCTTTGGTAATATAAAACCACAAATATAAAGTTTAAATGAGCCGTGCTAACAACCAATAGGTAAGCTAGGGTTTTATAGTTAATTAAAAGGCTTCGCGAGCCGTTGTTTGCCCACCTCTGAACTAGATAGATATCATTAAAAATTTATTTAGAAGATACAGTTGATACTTGAAAGTTTTTTTTTCCATTTCACATTAAGAAACCATGATTAAAAGTTTTTTTTATAATTTTGCGTTACGTAATAAAATTTTTTTAAATTGAAATATGTTAAAAATACGAAATTAAATTTTAAAAAATGGAATTACACGTACCCAGACAAGCACAAAGTAATTTGATAGTTACAACATAATACGACTTTGGAGCCTGAGATCAATCAAAATGAAACTTACCTCTAGAGAGTTTCTTTTTTTTAAATAAATTGTTAAATTTCTTCCCAGTAGATTCTTCAAGATTTGTTAATTAACATAACACAATTCAATTAATTAATATTAATGTGATTAATTATGCGTGATTTATTTCACAATTTTTATGAAATTCTTTCCCCGGTTATCTGAGGTATGAGCGAGCAGCGTACGAGCACACAGTCGCGTGAAGATGAAAAATGACAGTTTTTGAAACCAGAAGCAAGTGATATAAGATACTTCAATCTGATGAAAATAAAAGAAGTAATAACAACTTAAATGATATATTGACACATCATTTTGGAGTAGTAGTAGTAGTAGCAGTAGCAGCATTAGTAGTAGTAGTAGAAGTAGCAGCAGCATTAGTAGTAGTAGTAGTAGCAGCAGCATTAGTAGTAGTAGTAGAAGTAGCAGCACTAGTAGTTTTAGAAGTTGTGGTCCAGACAATAGTAAAGTAATTGTATTAGTAGTAGCAGCAGCTTTGACTTTAATATACAACATGTAACATTAACGTAACCCTTAAAAATACTAATGTAGCGTACTTATGAAATGTAACTCATGTAATGTAACTTAATGTTATGTCATATAATACAACAAAAATTACCAATTGAATGTTGCTTAACTTGATCTAACTTAATGTCATAGAAGTTAGTGTATAATGGGGCTTATTATTTGTATGATATGATAGTAACGTTGAATATAATGTAACATAATGTAATATAATGTAACATGGTGTAATGTAATGTTACATAATATAATGTTACATAATGTAATAATGTTACATAATGTAATGTTACATAATGTAATGTTACATAATGTAATAATGTTACATAATGTAATGTTACATAATGTAATGTTACACAATGTAACGTAATTTAACATATATATACACGAATATTTATATGGCGCTAATTAAAAAGTTTTTCAAAAGCGCTTACAAATAAAATAACATACAAAATAGTCAAAGACAAACGATCATCAAACAAATAAATCAAACATTAAATAAAAATTAGATCAGTAAAAAAAACACTACAGCGAAAATAAATATGTTTTCAACATCTTCTTAAACATAATGTAATGTAATGTTACATAAAGTGGTGTAAAGGGGTGTGATGTGATATAAATGTAATTTTATCCGATGAAATGAGATGACGATGACGTCACGGGGAAGCTCGACTTATCTAGCGCAGAACAATCTCACGGATGGTGGAGACGTGTAATAATAATAATAATAAATAATATTAATAATAATTAATAATACAAATAATAATACAAATAATAATAATATGAAGAAGAAGAATGTGTGAATTATATTGTTAATAAACATAGAACAAACACAAATGCACAAATAAACACACACACGCACACACACACACACGCACACACATACATTCTCAAACGTACTAAAGTCGAGATGCCAAATACAATAACATGATTGAAAATTGAAATAAATGATTTTATTTATAATTGAAAAATAGTTTTATTCTCCAGTAAAATTTAATTATTTTGATTT